AAAGGCCTTGGGGCAGGAATGTGCTTGGTTTATTAAAGGAAGAGTAAAAACACCAGGGTGGTAAGAAGAGAGTGAGGGGGTGAGGAGTGGGGCAAAGCAGGAAATGAGTGAAGGAAACGGTCAGGAGCCAGACCACGCAGTGCTCTGTAGTTCATATAAGGTCCTAGGTTTTCGGTCTGAACAAGACGGGAAGCTATTGAAGGGCTTTGAGCAAAAACCTAACAAGCTGATTCATGTTTTCAAAAGATCACTCCGAATACTGTGTTAAAATGAACTGGGGTAGGGGTGGAGGGTGGCTAGGAGCTTCTGCCACAGAGATAATGGTAGCTCTGGCCACAGTATAAGCGGCGGAGGTAGTGAGACGTGGTCACATTTTTAATATATTTGAAAGTGGTCAGATTTTTAATACATTTTAGAACAAGTGGGATTTCCTGGTACCTTCACAAAATATGTAGTATTTAAGTAAGGTTCTTAAGGGTGAATAGATGCTCACCAGAGAGAAAAAAAGAAGAGGATACTGGTAGGCACAAAGGCAAGGAAGGGTGAAAGGACACAGCAGACTCAGGGGGGAGCACGAAACTCTGTATGACAGGAGTTTAAGGTTGGAGACCACGTTAGGCAATGGATAGAGATTAGACCACAGAGGTAGTTTGGGGTCATATAGTCAATGGCTTTATAGGATGGCTATGTTGAGGAGTTTGAACTTTACCTTGGAAGTAAGAGAGACTCAGAAAACTTACAAAACTAGGAGGCTCAAGACAGACATATTTATAGGAACACAGTTCTGATGGCAATGGGGAGGGCATAAGAAACACCTATCAGGAGAATGTTAAAAGTGTGTGGGTGGAAGATGATAGCTGTAGGCCTGAACTCTGACAGCATCAGTGGGACTGAAAAAGAAAAAAGAGGTAAAAGTGCCAGGGCCCAGTGACTGAATGATGGATGGAAGCAATGGGTAGAAGTTGAGGATAGCAAGGTTTCTAATTGGAAGAACAGGACAAGGGGGGGTGCCACTAGAGAAAAAGGAACAGGAGAAGCCTTGTGGAATGGATCCTTCTGAAACGCAAGTCATATCCTGTCCCACTTGTGCTCCAAACCCTCTTGTGCCTTCTCATCTCACTCAGAGCAACAGCCAATGTTCTTGGGATAGACTCCAAGTTTCTGTATAACCGGGCCTGTTCCTCTCTGATCTCATCTCTTCTACTCTCCCCCAACTCCCTCACTCCTCTCCAGATATGGTAGCCTCCGGTGCTTTTCCTTTCAAACATACCTCACAGGCTTTGCTGTTCCCCAGGCTCAGAACATTCTTCCCACAAGTATCTACAGGGTTTGCTCCTACATCTCCATAAGATGCAGGTGCTCCTATTCCACCTACCCCACAAGAAATAAGCTCAAAGAAGGCAGAAATCTTTTGTCAGTTTTTATAGCTTCATCTCTAATGCCTGGCACAGAATGGGAAAGCTAAATACATTTGTTTAATTAACTAATTAAGCAACATGGATTATGTTGAGTAGAGGTACTTGTAAGACTTTCAGGCAGAGCCGCCCGGTCGGCGGTCAGAATTGGCGCGCTGGAGGTCACATGGAGAGCAGGGATCGAGCCAGAGGTTTGGGATCATTGGGATAAAAGCACAGCAATCTCAGAAGCATTAGGAGAGACAGGGGAAGAGGGAATCAGAACAGTACTTGAGAGTACAAACCCAGGAGCCAGACAGCCTGAGCTCAAATCCTGGTCCTGACACTTTCTTGCTTATAAATCTTGAACAAATTTTTAAACCTCTCTGTGCCTCAGTTTGCTCATCTCTAAAATGGGGTTTTAATAACACCTGCCTCAGAGGAGTACAGTAAGATTTAAATGAGCTAATACACATAATGCACTTAGAACAGCACTGGAACAATCTGGCACATGGAAAGCACACAATAAATGAAAACAAGGGGGAATACTGCAAAGAGCAGCATTTTCTCTGGATGACATGAGCAGCATTCATGTGAGTCAGAGTTTGTTTTCTGACTATGTAATTCCTCATTTCCTGTGCTCCATGATGAGCCAACACAGGTTCTCTCTGCTTTTCTGTTTTGAATGTTTTGTTGTTGTTTTGTTTCTTTTCTCTATGATCTTATCAAAAGAAACTACAAAACTTCTCTGAAGGTTTTCTAAATTGGAGCATGGTACACAGGGAGATGTACGGTATAGCAGAAAGAGCACGGGCCTTCAGACAAATATGGGCTTGACCTCCAACTCTGCCACTCAGATAAGCAACTGAGTCTCTCCTGATTTCTAAGACAGGAATGATGAAACTTACCTCAAGCCTGAAGAACAGTGCTTGCTGAAATCATATTTATGGAATGAATGAATGAGGTAGGTATGAGCATTTAATGTGAGAGCATTCATAACACATTCACCACAGTTCCTGGCACACTGTAAGGGCCAATAAACCTACCCAACTGGAGGCTGCACAAAGTCTTATTTTCATGATTGGCAGCTGGATTGGCATTCTTGTGGTGAGGGCCTATTTAAGTGACCCAAGTCAGGTCTGAACTTTCCATTGATTCATGTCATTAAAAAGTATTTTCACTTCATCTTTTAAGAGAATAGGTTGGCTTTTACTGAGATTTTATTGAAGCACTAAGCTTTATTAGAAGGTGCACTTAAGGTGATTAAATATTGGTATCAGGGTTTGTTGTGGGTCTTGGAAAGATAAAAAAGAAGCTTTGTTAGTTGTTCTGTTTGCATTGGGTTTCCTTTTATCCTTCCGTTTATGGCTGGTCCAGAACACAGTGGGCTGATAACCTTTTGTATTTAATTCTTCATGTACTACTTTCACAATACAAAAGCTGAAATCGTTCAGCAGTTGCTTTATGACAGTGTATGTAATCATGTACCAGAAGGCTTATATCTATGAAAACATTAGTAAGCATTTCAGAACTGATTGCATTTTGTGGGTTTACCTGTTTTAAGGGTACTTAAAAAAATTTTTTTTTCTGATTTCAAAAGAAAACATGCTCACTGCAGATAATTTGGAAAATAAGGAAAGCTCAAAGGAGAACACCCTACCTCTATCGGATATAACAACTATACACATCCTTCAAATCTTTCCAAATGCCACCTCCTTGTAGAAATGTGTACGTGTATAAGAACAAAATTCAAATCGTACAAAACTCATTATTATATAATTGACTTTTTAAATTAACTAAGACATGCATTCATTCATTCGAGCAAACTAATTAAGCACCTGCTAGGTGACAGGCACTGAACAATGTACAGAAGATGACAGAAACAAGCATGTTTAAAAAATCATTACAATCAAGTGAGATAAGTGCTAATAAAGGTACAGCTAAAGTACAACAATGAGAATAAGGACACTGGACTATAGAGGTGTCAGGGAAGTTTTCTATAGGAGATGACACATGAGCTGTTATTAACAGATAACACAGAAGTTCACCAAGGAAAGAAGAGACAAGTAAGGAGGAGGAGGGATGTCAATAGAGGAGAAGGCCCCAAATATAAAACTGCATAGCTAGTCTGGGGTACTGCAAAAATCCAAGGTGGTTTTAAGGTGGAGAAACGGGGAGCTGAGGCTGGAAATGCAGGAGCCAGGCAATGAACAGCCAGTGTGGGATTCAAAGCCGGGGCTTGACATGTTGAGATTTACATCTTGGTTAGAACATACTGCAGCTTCAAGGATTAAGAGGGGCAAAGAGGAAAACTAGAGAGTTTTCCCATGAGGTAAAGCAGAGTGAAGATCTAATGAGAATGTAGACAAGAGCCAATGTCCTAGAAATGATAATGAACTGGATGTCAAGAGACATCAATTCTAGATGGGTAAACTCCTTTCCTCTCTTCCTTCCTTGATTACTGAGGGTCTGCTATGTATAAGCAGGTGCTAGAGATACAAAGATGATATGGCCCAATTCCTAGACCCCAAGAACTAGCAGGAAAGAATAGGTGGATATTTATTATTTTTGCTTGCCCAGCATGCCTATCCCTCCTTCTTTGGAAACAGGACTCTAATTTTTCTTTGTGGAAACCATGCATCTCTGACTCCCACAATCCATGCAGTTTGAGTGAGAGTGCACCCACTCAGAGTGTATGCATGAACTCGGCAAGAAACAGGAGCATCTAACTCTACTAAACACAATGACTGGTTCAGAGATAGGCACAAGACTCTAACCAAACCAGTGAGATCACTCCTTAGAAAATCTAACGGAACCAGGGAAAAAGAACTCACTACCTTCTTCTAAGACTGAAGATGCTAAAGACCACATACCCCTCAGGCTGTCAGAGTCCTCCCATTCTATCAGGTGAGAGCCTATTCAGCATGAAATCACACAGAAAAAAGCCAAGCCAAGAAACAGAGAAAAACAGTGACCAGGTGGCATCTTTTGAGTAGCTGGATTCAGCCATGTACTCCTAGATGTCTAAAGTCTACAAACCACCACCACCATCACCCTTTATATTTTTTGACACAGCAAGTTTGATTTGGGGCTTTGTTGCTTGAAATTGAAAGAGTGCTGTCTAATTGAGAAAGACAGAATCCTGTAACTGCAATACACTATGATAGGTAGTACAGAGTTATTTATAATGTACAAGTAGCACAGAAAAGTGTGCAGTCGACTTGTAGGTAAAGTAAGTTGGGGAAAATTTCACAAAGGAGGTGATGTTTAACTAAACTCGAAGTGTTAGCCATCTGGCAACAGGGTAAGGAGCAAAAGGATATTCTATGCAGAAGAAACAGCATGAGCAGAGGCAAGGAAGTGGGAAAGAGCATGGAATGCACAGGGAGGTAAAAACAGTCTATTATGCTAAAGAACTAAGTTCACAGCAGAAAGCAGATTATGAAGGAATTTATTTGTTCTATAGGTGATAAGGAGTCACTGGGTGATCAAATCAGACCTTTTCACATCTCACTGTACTTCTCTACACCACAGTTTCCTCATAGGTAAAACAAGGTAGGTCTGAACATATCACTACAAATTGATAAAAGTATTAAAATACCTTACCTGCTGATAGAACTCATCATCTTTTGGGGTCAGATAAGGAAGCCAAGTGTCTTCAAGCTCTTCAAGAAGCCTCAGTTTCTGTGTAAAAATAATAATAATTATATATGACTGAATACAAAATTACTCACAATACAAGACAATCTCTTATTTTTCCAATAAGAAAAAACCAAAAAAATTTAGCCAACTTGAATGTACACACTTTTAGAGACAGAAATGAGTCAAATGCCAATTATAAAATGTATTAATTGAATTACACACAATTAAAATTACACATTGCATGGAGCATTAATTTAGAAATAATTATTATATTCACTCATTTCACAAGAAAATTTGATTCACTTTGTACATGTACCTTTGACATAAAAGTCTTTTTCATCACTAGAGTCACCTTTTGAGTACTCTAATACAGTTTTCCAGAGCAATTCTTTCTGTCGGTATAATCTGCTTGAGAGAGTCGTTTTTAAATCCTTCTATATTACTATCATTGGAAATACCAAAACAAGCAACAAGTAACCATTTGCATAACATCAAGGTATTTGGAACATTTATTCAGTCTGTAAACATTTGAGATCATATCCATTTACAGTATTGCTTTTTTAAAGTGATCTTTTATCTCTACAATAATTACTACATATTTGCTTCTTTTTTTTCCCAATTTTATGAAGGAACCTTTTTAAACGTTCATAGCCAGCACTGTCTGAGGCCATTTCAGAACACTATGCCTTCCCTAAATAGTACTGTGCTGTTCAAAGTAATTGGGAGAGGATCCCACATTATAAAGTACCTTATACAACATCAAATACATAAAGCGACTCCATCCTTCTGAGGAAATTTTTCAAAGAGTACCTGACCTTATATTCAAGCGTATATAGAGCTTGTGTGTGTACATGGCATATAAATGCCATTATATGTATGTATACACAGACACACAGACACATAGACATGTACATATTATAAAAATTATTTGTAAGGAAAAAAAAAACCAAAATGGCAGAAACAACTGGTTTTCAAATAAAGCTGCAATAAAATGCATCATCAGGGCTACTGTCAGCCAGTAAGTCACCTTTATAAGAATCAGAAAACGGTACACTTTGCTCTGGGCTGATGCAGCCCAACTAGATGAGTATGGGTTGGTAAACACAAACTAGGTTTCAGCCCCCGCACGCTCCAATGGCCACTGTCTTAATACAGTGCATAACCTACTTAACCAGACATGGTAGCCCTGGGTATTTATCCTCTCCCACCTCAGGATAGCAGCTTTCCCTTACAGAGCCATCACAGAATAGTCCAGAACAAACATCCTTTTGGGTAGAACTCAAATTCTTTCTAGACCTTTCGTATCATTATCCGAAGTGAATAAAGAAAAAGGGAATAGAAATATAGCAACCAGTCGACCTAAGAGAGACAAAAAAGTAAATTCTTCTCTTATGCATAATTCTAGACTATTTATTTAATTAAAGCCTCTGTTTTGACTGTAGGTATTTTCTCAGTTAAAATGAAAAGACTGACTTACCAGTTAAACTATGAACAGTTTTCCTTTACTAAAGATCTATAACGCTAACATAACACAAACCATTATGGGTAATTCACAAACCATTTTACATAATTCACTAATTGGCAAATTGGATTAAGCGTTTGTTTTCAGTATTAGCCATTATTTGGATCATAGAAAAAACTAAATAATATTTCCATGCATACTTGTACTTTCATGTACTCTATCACTAATTTAATAAAATCTATATCTCAATTTTTACTTCAAGCTCAGGAAAGCCTACATTTTCCTATGACTCTTTTTCTAATTCTTAGTCCTTTTTATATACACAAAGTAGCAGAATATTTATAAATGCCAAAAAAAGTTTTTTAAGCCTTGAATAATTCAAATGCACATGATATCTCAAACACTGAAATGGCTCCACCTTACAAAAACCACCTTAAGTTCTCTTCGTGAGAGTCCATCAATAAAGCTAATCTGCGTCTAAGGAGGAGCACAAAAGTACAGATTCCCAAAAGGAATTACATACTCCACCTAAATCTGATTAAACAACAATCGACATGTCCCCATCGGTCAAAAAGTGTCAATGGAGGCTAAAACTTTGTTTATAATTAATGCTTCTGCTAAATTATTGTAAAAACAACTACTTCTCAGCTCAGTTGAGGTCTAGAGAATGACAGGTGTAAAACACTGTAACCTGAAGGCTGTATCGAAAGGATAAAATCTACAAGAATGTTCTTACTATAGAGCAAGCAATACTAAGAACATCGTTATACCTATAAGACAGCAGAGAATGAGGGCCAGAAATCACCCAACGTAAGATCACAAAAATGAAATAAGCTCTGTACATGAACATTCACTACTTGCAATTTTCTCAGCTAACTGACAAGATCGATTCTAAATAACAATATCTACAAATTTAAATAGAAGTTTTGGTCATGTTTACCCTGGTGAAATGAATAAAAAATCAATATTAAATTAAACTGGTAGCTCATGAACATCAAAATTAAAATTTTTGATTGCTTTATAAAAATTAATAGTTAAAGACTAAGGTTGCTTTATAAAAAGCAAAGTCACTGTGGGCAAGACTAAGAGAAACAGGACTTATACTTTGCTGGAGGAATACAAAACAAACAGTACAATTTCTATGGAGAGCAACTGACAATTCCTTTCAAAATTCAAATGCATTTACCCTTTGACCTAGCAACCCTACTTCAAAGATTTATGCTACAGATATGCTTGTATCATCATGTTCAGAGGAGTGTAAGCACAAGGTTGATCATACATCATTATTTGTATGAACAAAAGCTTGGAAACTTACTAAAACCCACTGAATCGTGCAATTTAAAAGAGTGAATTTTATGGCATGGTAATTATTATCTCAATAAAACCAAAAGATTAGAAACAATGCAAATGTCCATCCACGGGGGACAGTTATGTAAACTATGGTACATCCACACAATGAAATAGAGTGCAACAGTAAACAAGAACGAGGAAGCTCCCATTAGTGAAAGAAAAGGCTCTCCAGGAAAGTTTGGGAAGTAAAAAGCAAGGTATAGAAAATCTGCTTGCACATGTATACAGAAAGGATATGTATACATAAAGGATACCTGACAAACTGTTAAAGTGGTTATATCAGGAGGAGGGGTAGGAAATGACTAGAAAGAGACAGGAGAAGAGCAAGCCTACTCAAAATACTCTATTTTACATTGTTTCAATTTTTGAACAATGTAGCCATATTACCTATTTATTCTTAACATAGAATTCAGTATCAAGATGAATAAGAAATGATTTTTGGCTTTGTTTTAGAAAGTACATTCTTATGTACAATGAAGTTACTTGGGAAACTATGGCAGACCAGCACGCTAAAGACGGAAGAGGGGAAAAACCAGTTCTGACAATTTTTGTGTCAAATGTCAACCAGCCAGTAAACAGAAACAGCATTAAAATGTACTCTGGAGTGGAGAGAGAAGGAGCTTGCATTGGATTGTCAGATCCGGCTAACTGCTGCTCCTCGGCCTGCTGTACAGATGAATCCACACAGCTGGGCCCTGCAGCACGTTGCTCCGCTCACATGCTTCTTTGCTGTCACACTCGTGTCAAATACATCAAGCTGCTCACAAATGCCACACAGAAAGCCGGAGAGAGAGCAAAGCCTCAGTTCTTCCACCTCACAGAAGGAGCATATGAAGACCCTTCTGTGCGAGCCACTGCCCATTTCCATAGCTCTAGCAAGTAAAGGGGACACAAGACCTTACATAAAACACACTGCAATTCAAACCCATAAAGGTTTGAAGTTGGATGTCAGAAACTTTACTCTAGCCCTGAGCCTCAACTTACTGTGAAAGTTAAGCTGTACCTGAGCTTGCAAATCTTGTCAAATAGAGCCATAGTTCGAGAGTCTTATAGTAATTACATAAAAAGATTAACTGGATTATGACTTACAATGTGGGGATGTATCTCACCTAGAAATGAAATGTATTTTTTGTCCCACTTCTGTCTCTTCAGCCTTGTCAAGACTGTGTTGCTAACGAGGCTTATTCTTTATCTATTTTATTGTTTTCTACATAATACTTTTTAAACTATGCATCATATTGTGTCAGACTCAATAAAATTTAATTTTGTTATCTGAGTCTTTTCAAAATACAATCACAAATAAAGGCTAACGAATGTTCATCATGAAAATAATCACACAATCTTGTGAGAGTTTCAAATAGTAAGTGGGAAAATTGACCTAGTCCTTAAGCAGGGCATGAAGGGTAAGGAAGACATCTCTAAGATAGACACCTCTAAACTAATACCAGAAAGATCAGTAAGAAGTAGCTAAGCCAAGAGAAGTATAAATAAATATTTCATATATGCGTATACCATATTTGCTTTAAATAAAAATAAAAGAAAGTATTTCAACCATTTCAAAAAATTCAGCATTCCCTGTCCTATTCTCAATGAAAATATGGCATGGTAAAAATTAACAGGATTTGGAGGCAAGAATAGAATTTTCAGTGCAGACTCTATCACTTCCTAGATGTGGTACCACATCTGAATCAACCTCTCTCAACCTGTTTCTCCATCTGTAAAACAGTTTCATAGGGTTGTTGTAAGGATGAAATAAAATTAATCATATATATTAGTGCATTTTGCAAACTATAAATTATGCACATATTAGGCAAATGGAATTTAAATGGCAGGGATCTGTATAATAAAGCATGAGATAAGGAGCCAAACTCCAAGTGCCAATGACAGTTTTACCAATCTAGGTACATGATTTGGGACTAGTTTCTTATCACGATGTGAAGTGTGAATGAAATAACTCATATAAAGATCTAAGAACAGAGCCTGGCATATTTGTCAAGTGTATGTTGTTATTGTTATTTATTCATGTCTGGAAAAGGACAGTTTATTTACTAGTTATAAGTTATCTATAAAGGAATCTATGTGTACCTCCATCAAATTATACCTTAGGCCATAGATTAATCCTGTGTGACAAGTCCGGATATTAATTTGCCTGGGTGAACTACAGGAGAAATGTGCAAAAACTCTCCATAAAAATTTACAGATATATAAAATGCCTCAATTTACTACACTG